GGATACGAACAGGTGGAATTTACGCAGCTCATTTACGCACTTTTCCTGAAGATAGAAGAGTTTGTTGAATCTGACGTGACATGTTCGTACGAACCCTTCGTACAAACAAAAGTAAGAGAAATTTAGGATAAGAATACGAACATGTTCTTGCATGAGGGCCATTGTCACTATAAATAGATAGACTTTAAAATGCAGACCAACACCAGGAACTTAAAAACAAACAAACAAAAAAATTAATAATCACCAAAAATACTAAAAACCAAAAAGCTGGATTGGCAGCTAAAAAATACAAAATAACAAAACTCTAGAAGACACAGGCCCACCAGACAGGGCATGAAGCTCAATGCCAGACTGCAGATGACCTAGAAGAAAGAGCCTAGAAGGATGAGGTAAGTGGAGACAGGTGAGACTAATTATGACAGGGAACAGGTGTGTGTGAAAGGGGCAGCACTGAGGAGCAGAAAAGAACTGAGGGGAAAGGAAACAAAGAAAATGAAACTGAACGTGAGAAGTGACATAACGGCTGGGTCTCAATTCAGGGGTTGCAGCTGACGTAGGGCTGTCCCAATTTGTAGGGGCCTACTCATGCGGCCAACAAATGTGGCCGACAAAACCCTGAAAATGTGGGCTACATCTGAGTATCCTACACAGCCGAAGTTATCCCAGGATTCATTGTGCCGTCTGCTAACTAAACAGAAAAGCAAAGAAGGTGGAGATTTGATTCTTTAACGGCAAAGGTTTTTTCTGTTTTATTTTTTTTACAGCCCATGTAGGGGGTGGCCTACATGGGCTGCAGTCTATGTGGGCTGCAACCCCTGAATTGGGATATGGTTAATAGGCTGTGGTAGCTCAGTGGTCAGTGCCATGGTCTTGTAATCCTAAAGCTGCAGGTTTGAACTCAGGTTTTGTCAAAAAGGACATTTAGCATAAAAACGATTGCCAAATTTCTTTTGTGCCAGTTCATTCGCTGTAGAAGGAAACATTTGAAAGAAGAACAACTAAATAACAAATGAAAACACAAGGAGCAACATAACAAAACACACACAAAATAAGCAAATAAAAAGCAAAAACCAACAGAACAATTGTAAAAACACAGGATCCTGATAGGCACAGAGACTCAGACCTATTTTTCAGTGAGAGGAAACATTAAAGAGTCAAAAGCAGAGGTTTAAATTTATTTTTCATGAGTCAAAAGCAGGAGAACAGGGCGTAAGGCATTTCTAGCAAACAAGAATGGATTCAGGCAGCTGGAATCACTTGACACTGTGGTTAACTGAGAATTTACAAAAAAAATGATTGTTGTAAGCTGATGCGTGATAGTGTGAAGGTTTGGGCTTACATAACAAGCTGATGAACACATCGAGTTTGCCTGACTGAAAATATGTGAAAAAAAATACAAATGTGAGAAACATTTTCTACTATCCTTAAATCTGTGTGCTCTGTGGTGTTTTAATGAACACTCTGACAACACTCTTAAACCAGTATGTTAATACATACGGTCAGCATGGTATATATGCATATGTGTTTCTCACTCCCTGACTGCCAAATAATGAGAGGCAGACTAAAATGCAGATTGAAAAATAAGCCTCAAACTACCAGACACTGTGTGAAAACTGAGTTTGATCTTACAAAGTCTTAAACCGTGGGCAACAGAATACGAATTCTTTTAGAGATAGGAGAACTTAAAAAGACAATCAGTTTTTTTTGTTTTGAAGAAAACTATGACTAAAGCATACTGAAGCTTAGCTGTGAACTCTACATCCTGGGTGGATGTGAGAGAAAACCAAAAGTCCTATATTAGTAAAAAGACAGAGTGAAAGAACACAAAAGTATAAGTATGGTTTCGTCTTTCCTCCAAGAGACTTCTTCAGTCTTAAAAAGTCTTTTGGAGGAGATGAAACGTTTCATTAAAGAACTTATCTAGAGCAGCATTTCCCAAAGTTGGGGTCGGGACCCAAAGTGGGGTCCCGAAACATCACAGTGGGGTCCTGAAAAGATTTTCTGAATTAATGACGTTTTTGCCTTAGTTGTTACAAAGGAGTGAGGTTAGTGTATTTAAAATGATAAATGTAGTATAAAAATATTGTTACTATGCCCATGTTTTATTGACCTGACACAAATGTTTATCATCCAAAAATATCTGGAGGCACAGGTCTCTGCTACTGTTATTTTGTGGGTCAAAAGCTGAAAAGTTAGGGAACCAGTGCACTTTGGTTCCCAAAGTTGGGCTTGGGACCCAATTATGGGTCATGAAGCACCTTGGATAATCTCCAGAAATCAATTTTAAGGGCAATAAAATAATTGCTGATGTAATATTTTCCCTATAATTATACAAAAACACGAAATAAGTATAAATAAGTATTTATATTTGTGTACAAGCTGTTTAGATTGTCAAAAAGCCTGTGTTTTTAGGGTTATTAATGAAGTTTGTGTACTCAGACCAGTAATATTTGGGGTCACAAGATTTTGCCATGGATATTTTGTGGGTCAGAAGATAAAAAGTTTGGGAACCACTGATCTAGAGGACCTACTTAAACTTTTCTTTTTGATTTTTAAATAAAAAAAATCCAAAGGCTGTCAACCTCCATTTTGGAACTACGTGGGAGGTCCTGATACCACCACACAGCTGGTTCTGGATCTTATGAATGCACAGAAAGCATCAAAACAAAGATGAAACTACAAAAATGGAGGAAAGAGAGATTCAACCGGCCCGTCTTCATTGAAGGCAAACGTTTGGGCTCATTTAGGTTTTTACTAAATGAGTCAGAGTTTGACATAAGCTTCACTGTGTGCAAGGTTTGCAAAATGAAGATGAAGCACTTTGGGAACACGACAAATGCACAGGCTCACATTATCAGTTTTGAACAAAAAATCTAATTTGAATCGAATCGTGGTCCCAAAAATCAGAATCGAATCATGAGAAGATTCCCAGCCCTAGTTTCTGTTTCTATATAGTGTGACTGAGCTTCAGAGCTCTAAAGAGAACTGTTTTTTTTCCATGTTTTCACCAAAATTTAATTGACCTTTATTATTTAATTTCTTGCAGGTTTTTGCAGATTTTGTCTGTTTGCCAAAAGTCATAACACACTACTCACGATCAGCTTGTATGTTTTAGTGCAGGGGTGCCCAAACATTTTCCCTGAGGGGGCCATAATTAAAATCAATCTGAGGGCCACGGGCCAAATGCAATAATATAAGAAATGCAAATATTTTTTAAGTAAAGTTGTTTTATTTTTTTATGATTAGCTAGCAGCCAGTGTGGTTGCCCACATTCTTTTGTTTTTTTTTTTCCTTTTGTTTTTTTTAGCCCATGAACATGGAGAAAATTCAACGTATGCTCAGGTAGCAAAGGCTCATGGGACTTTTCATAATTTAAAATTTGAGTATATGGGGTATAAGTTGTACACAAATCAATGTATGGGCTTAAATCTAATGTAAATATGTGTTGTAGTTACTTTATTTTAAATTTAATCTTAACATAATTACAATCTAGTAACCAGGAAAACTGTTGGTGGGCCAAATCAAATGGCTTGGCGGGCCAATGTTGGCCTGCGGGCCCCACTTTGGGCACCTCTGTTTTAGTGTAAAATTTGCACGTTTTATTTTAGCTGCGTGACAGGATACAAGACAAACATTTTGAGCAGGATGGTGTTGTTCTGTCCTTATGCTTTGGCCTCTTAATGATTCAACAAATGTTGTGCATTTAAAACACTTTTCCCTCTTTAAACTATTTAACTTTTATTTGCTACACGCTACAAATGTTTGGCAGCAGATCAAATTAGATACGATTTTCTTGTAGAGAAACCTGGACTTTCTCAGAACCAAAACAGACGCTTTCTCGTCGAGCGAGACACCAAACAGACAGACAGAAGAAGCGGCGTGCTGTAGCTCCATTAGCTTTCGCTGCACACTAATGGGTGAAGGGGATGGGTTCTAAAAGGTTGAGTCATTAAGACAGGCTATCAGACTTTGACAGGAAGCAATGATTTGTTGTTTCTACAGCCAACAGTGTGCCCTGATGTGTACTCTCTAAGTTCAAGGAGGACAAAAACTGTGTGTGTCTGTGTCTGTGTGTGTAGAAGCAGCTTACAGCGATGGCCTGGAGTCTCTCCTCTTGTGACACCTCAGCCATCCTGACAAAAAAAAGACAGACAGATTTAGCAGCATATAGTAATGACTGCACATAACCATCAACGCTGAACGTTACACAGTCATGAACAACTTTCCTTAAACACAAAATTAGCTCTCTGTCTTTTTACCTTCCTAAGCTTTCAAAGTGACTGAGGGTAAATATCTGTCTGTTTGGCACTAAGCTGGTGTCTCTTTCCTGTCAGGGGGAGTCAGTGTGTGCGCGATGCTGATGTGTAAGCTGGGCACCGCTGGAGATTCCTGCTCTAATGGGTTCCAGACGACAGATCCAGGATGGAGGATGGACAGAAACAAGATTTAAAGCCAGAGGGGAAGGACTGCGACTGTTGCTTAACTGAGATGGGACACAATTTTTACAAGTCATTCTCCCAAGTCAGTCAGTCTCTAGAATGTAGCTGATATTACAAGATTGAGAAAATACACAGATCACAGCATTTTGAAGACACTCTTAAAATCATTTGTTACATTTTTTTATATTTATAGGTGACAATTAGAAGCATCAATCACCCAAGAATGAACACACAAATACAAATGTTTACGTTTTAAAGTGGCACTCTATGGAAAAGTTAAGAACTAGAGAAACTGAGTGCTGTATGACTGATGAAATTTGTTGAAGAGTGAATTGTTAAAGTGAACATTAGCAGGACAGAAGTTAAAATCGGCAAGGCAAAGCAAGATACTAAACGCAGCAAACCGTAATTAAAACCTATGAAATAAGTAACAAAAACAGTTTAAACTTAAATGTAGCAAAACCATAGCAAAAAGCCAAAAGGAGCCATAAGGCAAAAGTAGCAAAAACAGCCGCTAAAAGCTAAATTAGCCATATGTGAAATAAAAGCTACAAGTGGTATAAGAAGTCGAAAACAGAGCAATGTATGTTTCGATAGATTTCAGAGAACAATGTTGTTGAAGGTTTTTGAATTTCAATGCATTTCTATAGGGATAATCTTTATAAATACAAGTATAACATTTACAAATACTGAAGTCATGGCACACTATATCTGATCAGGCTGAACATTTTGATAAATAAAGGATTAAAATAGCACAAAGAAATAATTTGATTGCAAAAACTTGTAGAAACTCTAAACAGAGAAGCAATACTGTGAATGCTGAATCTGTTGATGATCTACATGTTTACATGTTGCAGATTCCTCTTTGAATGACCTCGATTTAGAGAAATGGAGTTTGTCGCAGCTACTTTTAAGAGCAAGAACAATTCCTTTAAGTTTTTATTTGTTTACGTTATTTGCTGAAGTCATAATCTCCTCCACTGTCAGGTGTGAGTGATAAATGGGACACTGTGAGCTGAAACATGCAAAGAGTGCTTATATTTAACCCCCTCAAATACGAGATTTACTATCTGCCCAAAATATCATTGACACTTCTTCAGTTACCAACTAAATAAGTTTGTTTTGTATGTATAAATAAAGACTGGTGCGTAACAGTACATTTGACCTCTGCAAGTTGATTTCAAAGGTTCAGGCTCTGTGCTCTTTTGAATGGAGTTAAATTCTTACATCTAATTTTAATCATCTAATTGATAAACAAACAAGAACAAACTGAACAGCTAAAGTCACAGTAACAAAATTGCTTAAGAGTAAGAAACCTGGTTGCTATAAAATACATTTTCACAGCTTTTCCTAATTTAAACTCTTTAAAACATTGTTAGCATTAATTGAAGGAATACATATCATCTACTTGGGTTCACGAAAATAAAAATAAATTTTCCACTGAGTACAGATGCTTGAACTGAAAATTTCAGTTAGAACGTTAAAGTACACAATTACACACTTTTTTTTCAGTATGAAGTTACCTTTCAGCATGAAGAAATCAATACAGCTGAATGATTAAGGCAGCTATCAAGTTTAAACTCTCTGACTTGGTGTCAAATTATCAATAGTCTCAACTCAACAGAAGAAACTGACTCATCTGGGTCCAAACCTACTATGTTCCCCAGTGCCTAGTGTATCCCCCAGGGTTAATAATGAAAGTCATGAAAGATGTTTGGCTCCTCCTTCAAATATCTTTTAAAACAAGTGAAAAAAAAAAACAGAATTACAGTGTAGGCATTGTACCAGGGAACATAAGTACCAGGGAACATAAGTACCAGGAAACAGGTACCAGGAAATAGGTTCACCCCTATGTGTACAAAAGACCCTGTATGTTTGTTAGTTTTTGCCCACGTTTGTTGCTACCTGTATTAATATGTTCATATTGTTATTCTCTTGTTTGGTGTCTATTTGTCATTTACGGGTTGTCGAAGTATCGTTGAGTTACACAATGCTTGTCATAAGGCATGACTTGTACACGAGAGACAGTTAGTTACCTAGTTAGACCTGATCGTGAGATAATGTTGTCTTCTGATACCCGTTTCCAGAGTGTGTGTTGATAAGCTGTAGAAACTTGATAGATTATTTGGGCACCCACATATAGTTTGTTTTATTTTATGTTCTGTGTATGGTGAACTTTATTTGCAGCTAATCTATAGCTTGCATGTGTGTGTACTGTGCTGCATATGTTTGGTTCATAAAACCAGCTTGTGAATATTTCACCTGGATATCCATCTGCGTAGTTAGATCAGCCACATCTTTGTGATATTTCTCATGCATATTGTTTACATATTTAAGAATAATGGATAATAATGTGCCAAGTGTTTGTAACACATGGGAACAATTAACTTACATTTGTTTCTGCTGATGTTTACAGGGAACCACATACACTCACATCAGAAAACCTCCATACATCCACACACACTGTTTCACATCCACACAGACCACACAAACCTATACCCATATTTGCTGTAAACCATTTGGATTACACATTGTCTAATCCAAGTCTGTGTTGTGTCCTCCTTTCTCCTCCCTGTTTAAGTCCTGCTTGTGGCCCTTTAAGATCTGAACTGATACCTGTCCTTGACATGGTCTTCTGGCTAACACTCCAGGTTGAGAGCTGTGATAAAAATACTAGTGCCTTTCAGTCCTAACACACAAGTTATCTCACCTACACTGTTTCCCTGTACAATGAATGTCTGCACTGTAATTCAGTATTTCTTTCATTTTTTTAAAAGACATTTGAAGTGGGAAGCCAAGCATCCCTCACGACTTTAGGAGAACATAGATAGCAGAAAAAATAGCCACATACAGTAGCAGACAGGTGCAAGTAGCGGTCTCTGCAGTACATGTTGTCCTGTGGGCGGAGACGGCCCAAATCGTGATTGGCGGAGGTCTAATGGTGCATTCACACCAAACGCGATTTCAGCATCAGGAGCATCAGGTTTACATACAAAATCTATGGTGGACGCGCTTCAAGCAGCATCGGGAAGTGCTGCGGTGCCTCAAGCGCGATTAGAGCAGCGCGATTTGAATGATTTGAACGATCTGAGCGTTCGATGCGCTGAGGCGCAAATCGCTGAAGTTAGAAAATCTGAACTTTTGCAGCTCAACGCGCTGCGTCAACCAATCAGAGAGACTCCACTGTGTGACGTAGCGACATATTTCCCGACGGGACAGTTTACTGAATGATGTCCACTAACCTGAAACAGACGGAGAGGAGCTCTTTAGCTGAAATCGAGTGCCTGCAGTCGGTGTCCTGACTGGAGATATCCGCACCAATGCGTGGCAGCGGCTCATCAGACTGGACTCGGACAAAAATAGTCCTGAAAGCGAGCTGTGAGCCTCTACCGCAGCTCCTGGGTGATGAAACTCAGAACGTCTCTGAATTATCTGGTGAATTAATTATGAATTAATTATCTGATGAACGTGACATGCTCTTGCTCTCTGTAAATAAAGCAAAGCACTCCCTCGTCCGACATTAAACAGAGCCCAACAGAGGATGGAGGGGCGGGGAGGCTGTTGCCGTGCAGCGCTTCAAGAGCTGTCCTGTGTCTGACCTCAAAGTGCACAAGCATCCAACTTGAAGCGTTGGATGTGATTTTGAAGCTGAAATCGCGTTCGGTGTGAACGCAGCATTAGTGTGGGCGGAGACGGCCCAAATCGTGATTGGCGGAGGTCTTGATGTGGGCGGAGACGGCCCAAGAGACATGATTGGTCAGATTGACGTTGGGGTTTGAAGAAGATGGAGGCAGCAGGGAGTAACTTGGTCGAGTCAGGCAGGAAGCAACATGTTTTTTAAGATTAATTTTAGTCATAACTTGAGAAAGAAAAGTGCTAGTTGCATGAAATTTGAACGTTGTACATGTGAAGAGATGTGTAACATTATGGTTCAGTCAAAACATCCCTAACCAGCCTGTAAAAAGATACTGATTTTTAACGACTCGACCAAGCTGCTCCCTGCTGCTTCCAGCCTCTTCAAACCCCACCGTCAATCTGACCAATCACGTCTCAGGCTGTCTCCGCCCACATCAAGATCTCCGCCAATCACGAGTAGGGCCGTCTCCGCCCACAGGACATGTTCTCCAGAGACTCCCTTCTCAACTGGTGTGGGCCAGATCTGGTGTCAAGCTGACTCACTACTGGCATGGCAAGTGGTTTGTCAACCAGATGTGGGCCAGGTCTGGCAATGATGACACTGTTTTTAAAATAACATGCCACAACTGGCCCAGTTGTGGTTTGTTTGGTGCTTGCCCTCGCATGCACCACATGTGGGCCACCAAAGGGCCATCATTCTTTGTGTTAATCTGGGCCGAGTGCTAGTGCCATGTGTGGGCCAGAACTGGGCCAGACAAATTTTGCTATGTGGGTAGGGTTGACCCTTTCCAACTGATGGGAGTTTCAGCTTGCTCGTGGTGAAACCTATAATATAACTGAACATTTTATGAAAGATAATCCTTTGTACAGATTAGAGATGGTGTCTAAAACACATTAAGTCATGTGTTTATTGCAGCTTTAGTGTTGCAGCGCAGTGATAATGGGATTTGCTCAAACCAAACTCTTACAAAAAAGCAACAACAACAAAAAATCTCTACATGACTTTCCTGCCCAACCCAGTTCAACTAAAATGTGTCACTATTCCTGGCAAGTGACAC